ATTGCCTGATTCCCTGATTTTCTTGAAAACTCGCGAGACCTCAAAAATGTCAAACTTATATACTCTTAGTAAGGTAAGATTACGAAAAATATGTGTATTATACCAGCGAGTGCTTCAGAGAACAATTACACAGGAATGGTTCAAGGAGTTTCTTCAGTCATAGGGAGTTGTGCAGCCCAACGAGGGGTGGGGTGAGGGGCACATGCATCAAAGTCATGAAACGATTCAAGGTCTCAGGAGCTCAGGGGGGGGTGTGGTGTATGTGGCGGTGTGAGGGGAGGGGAGAACCAATGCACTCACCAGGTTGCAGTGGCCTACCATGCAATCGATCCGTAAGACAGTTGCGCGACCATCGTACATCATATCCAGTGATAGAAGAAGGCCAAGGCAACCAAAGATCGAGCAGCCAGTCCCCCCCCGTCTCTCTCTTTTTAATGACGCATACATCATTCAATGGCCTTTTATACATATTTGATTATCATTGAAAATTTGTATCCAAGCCAGTGATGCTTTGTTTTGTATTAAATACCCCGAGTGCACGTCAATTAAATTTCAAGTCTAAATTTAGTGACATTTCATATTTCACGCAATAGCWTGGTTAGAATATAATATATCACGCAATGATAACATGTTATGTCATCGTCTTTGGTCACAAGTAATAATGCATTCTTGAATGGTTTATCATCTATACAGCCAATTTTCTTTTACTTCATATTTGCCTATAGACCCCTTGCATGTGACGTCAAAGCAGCTTCATCTGGAGGACAAAACAAAAGATTTTTAACCTCTTGGGAACTAGAATCTATTGTTTTGTCCTCCAGTTGCAGCTGCATTCCCATGAACTGCAAGGGGTCTATTCATGCGCTACGTCGCTGGTCACGCTATTGAAACATATGGTCACGCGTTACTATGTCACATCACCATTATATATATCAATCTCTAGAAAGCGTGACTTGTCTCATCCATGGCCATGCGTGACAAACCGCCTAGGCACACACGACCCTGTCACGCTATACTGCAGTTAAGGAGAAAACCTGTACTCTGTTATTCATTGTATCAGCGACATACAAATGACCTGTTTTATCCACTGCAACACCAGCTGGAAACCTCATCAATCCATCACCCGTGCCTTTCCCTCCAAACTTGGTCACGTAACTTCCGTCACGCTGGAAAATCTGCACTCGGTGATTACTGCGATCAGCCACGATAAACTGGTCGTCGGCGTCAACTATGATACCTGTAGAGTTAATAAGAATGGGTTAAAAAAGAAGCACGCATTATTGTTGCAATTAGGAGTTGAATAATATCTGAACACCAACGGCTGTCTACCACATTGCCCCAACGGTTCGTGTTGCTGAAAAGAAGAAATATGGAAAGTAGAGAAACGGATTGTGTGACAGCATCTTTACGTGACAGTACTTTTATTCAGCATGTGAACCATTAGAAACAGCTTACAGTAAATCATTGCTCTATGTAAGAGAATCTGGATTAATCCAGTAAAAAACAGCTTGAAATCCAAAAAAATTATTCGAAATCCAAAAGCACAAAATTCTTTGGAATCAGGAATCTCAGAGCTTGGAATCCGGAATCCAATGTTTCGGAATTCGGAGTCCAGCGCTTGGAATCCGGAATCCTCTAGTTTTCTGGATTCTCTTACATGGGACGAAAAATAACCGGAGTTTTCACAACTTACCGGCCGGGTTATTTAGCTCTCCATCACCATCCCCACGGGAGCCGAAATGGAACTTCAGTGTACCGTCCTTATCAAAGACCATCACTTTGTGATTATTGTAATCCGTTACTGCTATCAGCCCACCACGTGTTATAGCCACGCCCCATGGACGACTAAGATACTGCGATTCCAATTTTCCCAACAGNAAATATGGAAAGTAGAGAAACGGATTGTGTGACAGCATCTTTACGTGACAGTACTTTTATTCAGCAGTGAATGCATTAGAAACAGCTTATAGTAAATTATTGCTCTATGTAAGAGAATCTGGATTAATCAGTAAAAAACAGCTTGAAATCCAAAAAAATTAATCGGAATCCAAAAGCACAAAAATTCTTTGGAATCAGGAATCACAGAGCTTGGAATCCGGAATCCAATGTTTCGGAATTCGGAGTCCAGCGCTTGGAATCCGGAATCCTCTAGTTTTCTGGATTCTCTTACATGGGACGAAAAATAACCGGAGTTTTCACAACTTACCGGCCGGGTTATTTAGCTCTCCATCACCATCCCCACGGGAGCCGAAATGGAACTTCAGTGTACCGTCCTTATCAAAGACCATCACTTTGTGATTATTGTAATCCGTTACTGCTATCAGCCCACCRCGTGTTATAGCCACGCCCCATGGACGACTAAGATACTGCGATTCCAATTTTCCCAACAGKTGTCCCGTTGGGGAAAATATTTGCAGTCTACTATTGCCCGAGTCGGCTACGATGATAGAATCCTTCGCGTCGATTGCAATTCCGTGCGGATGATTCAACATTCCATCGTCACTCCCAAAACTACCTATGCTTTTACGAAATTTTCCCGAAATATTATCGATTAGTTGGATTCGGTTATTTTGACTRTCAGAAACCGCGAGAAGGCTACTAGATTGATTTAATGCAATGCAATACGGGAAATTRAACTGCATGTCACGCAGTCCCCGACCTCCGATGCTCCTTGTCACGCTACCACGAGAATCTAAAGTTTTGATTTCATGATGATGTGAATCAGCAATGATGATATTGTCACGGCTRTCGACTAGAACACTATGAGGGCTTGCAAAACCACCGCTTAATATACGCACACTGCTTATCCAGTCCTTTGGCGTGACGGTAACAGACACGGGACTGCCTTTAATTGGGTGTCCATTGATACTGACATTTAAGGAATAGATGTCTKGTTTACTGACCAGGAAAGCGATCGAATATTCTCCGTCGCCGTGGTCTCGTACACTGTACTTGAAGCCTACATTATCTGCATTAGTGTGCGTTTGTGGTAAGCAAAGCTGTACCGTGACTGAATCTCCGCCTTTAGTCTGTCGTAAATTCCGGGAATTGACTGCCGTGACACAAAAGCGTGACACCTCTTTAACAKTCACCTGTAACGCACTCACGTCCAACTTACTGAGKGATGAATCCGTAGTAGGACAAGTATCGTCTAAATAACCAGTGCTATTTAACTTTCCAATCAAATCGCCAGCTTCAGACCTGAACGTAAGGTTCTCATGATTTTCAGCGGCATTTAGCTGAGGTAACGTGATCTTTTCTTCACGTAGTTGCGTGAGTTTCAGGAGTATTGCGTGACTCACACTAATCAGTTCGACTTCGGTGCCACGAACAACTGCACTTTCACTGAATGAGCAACAATTCTGTACTGCTTTTTTAGCAATCTCTAATTTTAGTTTTTGATCTTTCAATTGGGATAATTTATTTCCAGTTTTGTTCTCCAGCTCTTTTAAAAGTACTTTCATTCTTTTTCGGACTGTCATTAAGAGATTCTCGAAGTATTCTTCTATAGCACAGCGCACTTTATGAGAATGTTTCTCGATTTTAGAAATTGCTTCCTGCAACGAAGAAAGCGCTTTTTGCATGTGCTTTTGTTTCTCTTGGACTTCATCTGTTAAGGCAATGATTTCGTATTTCAGATCGTTGTATGCTATTTTTGGTTGTATGAGGTCGTGTTCCCTATGCKTTGACACAGCACAATCTCGACACACTGCTTCCTGACACGACTGACARTAATAAATAATTTGCTTTTTAYTGTGCGTTGCGCAAAAACACGGTCTTGTGAATGAATTCACCGACTTTTCGCGAAGTTCTTGGAATGATGATATTTTATGCGACTTAGTMGCGCTCATCCTTCGATGCGCCGTCGCGCAAAAATTACATAAAAAGAGAAAGCAGTCATCGCAACGCATCGTAATTCTTTCTTTATCAGAGTCGCAGCTATCACAATGAACCAAGAGCTGAGATTGATCCCCTCCTAATACAGCTTCATTAGCTAGGTTATTCAAAACAAAATTCAACGGAAAGTCTGTGTGAAGATCGATTGGTACCGAACACGTTGGGCATCGTGCTATWTTACCATTCTTGATAAGAACTCTTTCGTCGTCAAGGCAAGCTTTACAAATTGTATGAAGACATGGCAACAGAAGAGGCGATATAAAACGTTTTTTGCACCTTGGACAGAGTAAGTTATAGTCTTTACTTTTAGGTGGTTGAACAAGTTTTTCAGCAAATTTTACCTGCTTATTTCCTTTAGCCATCTTGAATCCACAAAGGCAGATGTAAATGTTTTCTTCAAATAGCGACAGTGAAATTACGTTTTCATACTTTTCTTGGTTTGACTCAGCATGTAGTTTACTCAGAACGCCGCCATTTTGTATTTTCAGCTTTAGTATTTCGATTCATGTAACTCCACTGAACTTGAATCTCTTTACAACCCTATGAAAATTTGAAGAACTATAGACAGTAATTCTCTTTTAAGTTGAGTAGTACAAATGTAATATAATTCATAGAATTTAGTTTACTCTGAGTTCATTGTCTTTGGCGTCTATACTGTTATTTCCTTTAGTATTGTTGGTATAAGCCTCAGGGAAGAAAGCGCGGGCGTTATGGAATCCTTGTCAAAACATTCAAATTATAATTGAAGTCACCGACATCACAATGAGCAATTCATTTGTTTTACAACAGTCATTAATTCAAAGTGTAATTTGTACATGGATTAATTATTAATCTCGATAATTACATGCTCGGTTACTGCTTTAGAATGAGAATTGTTAAATTAACTTAAAACTTGAGATTGGAATAGTTTTGTTTCAAAGACCTCCATTGAGTTTTGCAATGAAATATYTTACATAAGATTTTTCCAGTAGAGGGTTGGATTTTTTTTGCCTATGAATTTTCTTTCAGCGCTGTGTCCTTAATCCCAGTAATCAATAATGCCTGCATTGTTTACCGCTGAAATAAAAAACCTTTTTCGCCCTTGTTCATCGAAGGGTATTGTTGAAATTTAACCGCTAGGATTATGAGCGAGTCAAGCCAACGCACATAGTTTGCATTTAGTAAAAGCGKCAAAAATTTGTAAAACTATCTTATACTATTTTTTATTCTAATTCTTTTGTTTTCTTTTGTTCAATAAGCAATATTTTACACAAGTCAGTAATTAGTGTTGTTGAACACGCTTTTACTGAAAGCACTATACTCCAATCAAAATTCAGGGTTCGTCACTAGCTGTGCAAAAGATTTATTTAAGTCATCAGCATATAATATTAGCTAAAACATCTTATTAAAAATCCTACATAAAAACCGRCATATTAATGGCGAGCACCATGCTTGATTCTGAAGACGTTCCGAGAGCATAAGTGGCCATTTTAGTACCCAGGGCCTCATGCTCTTGACGCTATTTCGCCCAAAATGGATCTTTGACGATGAAAATCGACTCCCAAAATATTGTAGCATTGAAAAAAATAGGCAGTCGAGGACGTTGACTCAGCTCATTAACAGTATTTAGTAAACTTCAAGTTAGTAGCTGCGTTACAAAAAGACAATTCTAAATTTTATTACAACACGGAGCTGGTATATTCACTCTGAAACCATCAAACTTCTTTTGAACGGTGATAGAAAGACCCATAATGCATTTCGCTCTTGGGATGCACTATCTTCGTATTCAACCTTTTTCTGAAATAGCTGTATACGCTGCATGCTAGGAAATGGAAGTATCAAGTGGCTATTAACCATACGCTGCCTATAAATACATGCCAACAGGCGGCGATTCCCAGGTGCCAAGGAACTTATTGTGATGGTTGATGATTCCTCCCTTGGGAGCCTGACGCGGGGCGCCCTGTTTCCCTGGCCACAGTAAACATATCCGTCTGAAAGATTCTGAAAAGGAATTTTTATCCACGACAGGAAAGTCCTTAGAGCTTTATATTTAGCTGTAGTCAAAGACATCTTCTGTATCTGTTGACTTATAAACTCATGATAAATTCTCGAACGTTTTCTTCGATAAATGTTTATGTTATTCAAACTGTATTTTTACATCCATGTGAATTACTCTCTGAATTACTAGTTCGCCGGATTATAGTTTTGCAATAAAACCCGAAGATTGCTAAGTTTTTCTTCATTTCTTTATCAATTTTATACGGATTATCATTCATCCTCAATTCTTAACGGCACTCACTTTATGAGATTTAATAATTATGTGATAATTAATATCAGTCATATGTAAACGTTTACATCATCAAAAAGAACGAAAATGTGGAACGTTCGAGTGTAATGTTTGAGTTTCATTGAGTTGAGTTTCATTGAATCCCGGCAAATCTTTTGCAACATCTAGTATCTTCCTGGCATCCCGGGGGGGGACTCCCTAATATCAAAGGGCGGGGGTCCTCGGCGTCCCTTTTAGGGTTTGAAATCAGTATTTTGGTCCCGCTTAGGGTGATCATGACAAGAATTCCTACCAACTGTGTTTTGTGGTCCCTTTTAGGGTATACGGCGACCCTAAGCAGTCATAAAATGGCAACGTCGTCATAAACTCAATACGAGCCGACGGTGTTCGATGATTGTGTAAAAACACAAATAAAATCGGTAAACCAAAACAAAATGACCTGTTATTGATTGGTCCCTTTTAGGGTTGAAATTTCAGCACTGCCACGCCCATCATCTCACAATAGAGGTCCCTTTTAGGGGTCATTTTCACAATCTCCGCCGAGGACCCCCGCCCTTTGATATTAGGGAGTCCCCCCCCCGGG